CAAATGGTAAATCAAGATTATATCATAACTGAACTATGAAATCATAGATAAGAAGTGTTGAACACAACAAAGTGAACTTAGCATACCAGAAATCTGAAAATAGTAAGTCGTAATGGAAGGAAGATGACTTCCTCAAATTGAATTCTTTTTGCACAGTCAATTGATAACCTACACTATGATCAAAATAATAAAGTACTGCAATCATTGTTGCTAGAATAAAAACTCCAAGTATATAAAGAATGGACACGTTTAGCATGTACCCAACAATTAAATTACGAATTCACAATGAAGTTTTCATTCTATATAGAACTAAAGCACTTAATTAATAGATTTAATCAACATGCATGCCTTAATGATAGTCCAGTTTTGCTACCGATGAACACAGTTTGGGCTAAAGTGACGTCTTGGAATCCCTTTTGGAACACTCCCAGCATGTATGTAAGTCATGGATGTCTAAACCGGATCATGAGTAGCACACTGTAATCTGCTATAAGACATCGAAGCTAACCTGTATGAAAAACCACATGTCATATAGTTTCAAATAGTGAGAACGAAAATCATAAGAAATTGTAAATGCACATCTGTTCTAAGTAGACTTATGGTGAAAAGAAGCTCTTCTTAGAGTTTATTTGTATAATAGTCAATATTTATTTATTGGTTCACAACACCACGACCATGTTTTCTAACTTCTTAAAGCAATTATCAGTAGACATAATGACATAACCATAGCAAACATACCATTAGCAAACCTCCATAAAGGTATATACTCTACTAACCTAGGATCTTCACTTTTTGGAATACACAACTCATCCACAAACCCTTAAATATAGATCATAAGATAAGTTGTCAAATATGAAATGTTAAAATCCTCAATGAGATACTATGTAGACATTCTAAAGAAAAAGATTAGAAAAATTATGGTGTTTAAATTCGTTATAAGAGAAACTTTGGCAAGTTTTATTGCTAAAGTTTTGCCGGTCATCAGAATACAACCTTATTGAGCAAACTTCAAATTTAGTGGAAAACTATTAGTTTGGAGATAATATATTTTTTCATAATTTATTTATTTGTTTATTATTGTTATTCAAATGGTTTGCCGCTTTGAAACGAGAATAGACCTCCCAATCAGGTCGCGGAGGTCGAGGGCAGCCCCCTCATGGGGCTCGGGGCAACGCCCCCGACGGGGATCGACCTGCCCGGTCAGGTCGTGGGGGTTGATGGGACAACACCCCTCGTGGGGTTCGGGGGAACACGCCACGGAGACACAACATCTCTTTGTGTCACAGAGAGTGTCTCTGTGCGGGCATCATGTTGTCTCTGTGTGTCACGGAGACATCAAAAGCAAAACTCATTGAAGCTTCATCGTCCCATTCCTCAACATAAGGTTCATTGCTAGCCTTCTAATGCTTTCTTGGATTATTATTCTTGTTCTTTCCGTTATCATTTCCTTCATTTT